GGACTTGTGTCGCTAAAGTTTCGTCGGAACGAATTTACGGAAAATTAACTAACGAACGGAGACGTAACAGTAGAAACATTTTCGTGTTTTATTGCATAAATTAGGCCTTTGTTTAAAATATCTCCATGCGTTGTTGTTAGAGTTGTTTTGATAAATTTGCTATATTTGTGCCTTTGTTTTTGTGTTGTCGTGTTTACTGTCTGTTAGGTTCCTTCTTTTGAATAACTCACCTATTTTTTTAGTATGTCTAATTTCTATTTTATCTCTTTGATTTATCTAGTTTCGGTTAATAACTTCTAAGAGCATGCGTGAGTCATCAGCTTTTCAAATGACAACACCATGATGGAGTGGATTATCAATAACTTCCGATGTATAATAAGCTAACTCTGTAGATCGAAACTAAAAAATAACTTATGAATTAAGGGAATTAGTCTACCTAACAATTTATTAGAAACATATGATGTCATAAAGCCTATAATGATTACCATTCATTGATTTATCAGTCAGTTACCCTCACTACATTATTCTAGCATGACAATTGCCTTCATTGAACATTCAGGTTTATCGGTTTTTAACGTAAAACTCCCCCCAATGGCACAGCATGTCTGCGGATTTACAACGCTAGAATCCGGGTTTCGACACCCGTGGTGGGCTGAGCACAGATAGCCCATTTGTAGCTTTATGCTTAATTACAAACAAACAAACAATTTTAACGTAAAATATTAAATAAGCAATTATTACGACTGATAATATTACTTTCGAGTAAATAGTAAACTATTAATAGGGGGCGGTAATGTTTTATCTCATAAACTCCTTAATCCTTCAGTTTGATTCTGTTACTGTTAGTAAAATTTTGTCTAAATTTTGAAGTTAGATCAGTTTTAATTTTTTTTTCTAAGCTGTCACGACATTAACCTTTACATCGTTTGCTTTTCCGTGAGTTTATGAAATAGCCCAACATTTTTAAAGTACGTATGTAATTCTTGTTGGTTCTGGTTTTTATTTGGTAGTCGATTGTGTATTCTTTGTCACACAGCGTTAGTGTTACTCAGCTTATGTGATGTTAGTGATGGCATAGCAACTATCCAGATAAAGTAAATTACAGAAAATAAAAATACAATTTGCAGGGGTAAAAGGTAATTTGGTATTTATGTTAATTAATTTACATTTCAGTAAGTATATTGACTAAGTTAAACTAAAGTGCAGACAGGTTAGATAAAACAAATAGCTTATCATCACAACGCCTTCAGAGCGAAGGCCAGGAATCGGTATTTATATAAGCTTTACGGTATTGTGATAAGCAGGATACTATTAGAATCTCGTGACCTTTCAAATGCACCAAAACGCTGATGTCATAGTCTACAGTCAGACTCAGGAATGTTGAAGAAATGAAAGTACAAATCTTTAATTATTCGTTTATGTTACTTCAAGTTTCAACTTCAATTCAACAAGGGTTACGATTAACTACTTTTTACTCTGTCAGTGTCAGATTGTTTACAGTTTTAGTTACTGATGCTCAGATAAAAGTAATTGATACTAATAAATAAGTTATGGAGAATATTTGTGCTGTGTTGAATAATTTTTGGCTATTGTGTGGGAACAAAAATTGAAAGCAGTGAAGAGAAAAAGCACACCCATCAGAATTAATGATGGGTTAAACAATATTATCATTACCTTCTGATCAAAGTAAACTACCTATATTGATCTGTTAACCCAGTAATAATTTAGGCTAATTCATATATCATTCAAACTAGGTATATGTGAGGTACTAAAATAAAAACTTGTAATGATTAGAATGTATTGATTTACCAGCTATTAATATTTTCAGCCATTTCTTAGTGAGGAGTTAACCAATCAGGGTTTTAAAACCTGATGGTTCACTTGTAAAATATTGGGCTTACTGCATGAGCAAGAGCACCATGAAAATATTCTGTGCAGGGCAGGTTGCTTTCCATCTATTCCAAACTGTGTTTCTTGGATCATTATTTAAAATGGTTTTTGTATATATTTTTAGTCATTATTGAAAAATTACTCATTGAAATTGAAATAATTATTTGTGCTCTTTTAATAGATTAACATTTTTTAATCCAGTTTTAGAGAAGGTTAAAAAAATGAATGTTATATTTCTTTAGAATAACTTCTATCTGTAATCTACAATTTTGTCCATTGGCAACTGTTTTAAAAAGAAACATGTACAGTGTATATCTAGCTTACATTTTGTTAGAAATTTAGTGATAAGTACTATTTGTTAGTCATGTAAGACACATTAAAATGTATATGTATATTAAAACATTTTTTCCTGTTATTTAAAATGTTTATTACTTTTCATTTACCTGTCTAATGACATATTTTAAATATGTTACCTTGATCTTGTGACGGTTCTTTGATGATGATAATGTTACCTTGATCTTGTGACGGTTCTCAGATTATGATAATGTTACCTTGATCTTGTGACGGCTTCTGAGATGATGATAATGTCACCTTAATTTTGTGATGGCTTCTGAGATGATGATGATAATGTTACCATGATCTTGTGACGGTTTCTGAGATGATGATAATGTCACCTTGATCTTGTGACGGCTTCTGAGATGATGATGATAATGTTACCTTGATCTTGTGACGGCTTTTCAGAAGATGATAATGTTACCTTGATCTTGTGATGGCTTCTCAGATTATGATAATGTTACCTTGATCTTGTGACGGTTCTTTGATGATGATAATGTTACCTTGATCTTGTGATGGTTCTCAGATGATGATAATGTTACCTTGATCTTGTGACGGTTCTCAGATGATGATAATGTCACCTTGATCTTGTGATGGCCTTTCAGATGATGATAATGTTACCTTGATCTTGTGATGGCTTCTCAGATGATGATAATGTCACCTTGATCTTGTAATGGCTTCTCAGATGATGATAATGTTACCTTGATCTTGTGACGGATTCTCAGAAGATGATGATAATGTTACCTTGATCTTGTGATGGCTTCTCAGATGATGATAATGTTACCATGATCTTGTGACGGCTTCTCAGATGATGATGATAATGTTACCTTGATCTTGTGATGGCTTCTCAGTTGATGATAATGTTACCTTGATCTTGTGACGGCTTCTCAGATGATGATGATAATTTTATCTTGATCTTGTGACGGCTTCTGAGATGATGATAATGTTATCCTTGATCTTGTGACGGATTCTCAGATGATGATAATGCAT